ACAGGCGGTGCGGGCGGGGGCAGGTTCGGCGCGGGCGTAGGAACTGAATTGCCTCGTTGCAGGCCGGGGCGGGCTGGCAGGGTGAGGGGAGGCCCGGCTTGGGGCTGGTCCTGGTCCTGTTGCAGCAGTATGCGCTGCTGCTCGGCGGTATCGAGGGGCAGATTGAGCTCTTCCTCGGGCTCTGCCTCAATGACGGGGAAATCAGCGCTCGAGTTCCCGATCAGCTCAGCTGCATCCAGTATGGGAGGCACGAGTGGCTCTCCGGGCACGTCGCTGTCGGCCATGGTCGGTCGCGTGAATTATGTGGGTGTGGGGTTGTCAGGTTGGTGGAAACGTGCTAGGCCCACCATGTCTGGGACTCCTTTCACGTGCGGATCATTGTTCTCAGACGGATCAGTTTGGGAGAGCGGCGAGGGATGTGTCTTCACGGTTCAAGAAGGTGAGTTGCGCTGTGTATGCACGGCAAGTGGGATGCGCCGACCGCTAACGGATGGATAAGCAGGGCTCCGATTAGCGCGAATCCTGCTAAACATTCACTTGTTTCTAATGCCCACATGTTGCAATTCATCCCAACAACACAGTCTCATATTACTCATAACACAACTAGCGATGGGTATTGAGTACCGAAATTGATGTACCATTGCAGAACGCCTCCTTCCTGTAAAATGTGTCGCTAGCCCTCAGAAGACGTAAGAGAAGCCCCGGTTGTCTGTGTGGGAGAGGCCAACCCAGGCGCACCGCGATCGCTGCCGCCAGATGCAAACGAATAAGAAAACCCCGTCCCTAGAGAGCGAGCGATATCTCCACAACTGTACGCCGAACATAAAACCATCTGCCGCACTGCCAGTGCGGGGAATGAACAGTAGACCGACAGGCCGAGGAAAGAAGTACAGATATGTGTCTTCCGAACATGGCTGTCAAGGCAACGTTGCTATTGTATCGATAAGATAGTCGAAAACGAGGCTTCTTCCCAGTTCTACATGGGATTAGCTCCCGTCTGTTCGCCGTTCTCCTGGCGCTCTTTGATCTCGTCGGGTATGATGCCGTTGGCTTCGCATGTGCGCTTGTAGATATTGCACTCGTCCCACGCCCGTTGGCATTCGGCCTTGAACTTGTCGCAACTAGCGCTGAGCTCGGTGATGGCTTGCTCGGTGAGTAGCTTTTCAAGCGTCCACTTCTCAATGTTCTGTTGCTCGTTCTCCTTCAGCTGGGTAATGAACTGAACGGCCCGTTGCAAGATGGAGCCCTTGTTCTTTTCGCAGCCGGGGACGATCTTGGCTAGTTCGTTGATTCCCTCGTTGATAGTCTCGCGACGGCGGCGTTCGACTATGCAGCTGTTAGCAACTGTATTTAGGAGGGCTCACACGGGTGCCTACCTTCTTTGTGGTTGTCTCTCCGGACCTTGTGCCACTCATCTGTGCCGACTTGAGGTTTGTGCGCAGAGCTTTGCGGTGGCGAGTCGCTGGGTGCTGTTTGACCGGGACGACCCGTCTGTGTAGCTGCCTTCAGAGCCTCGAGACTAAAGTCTTGCATGCCCGTTTGTTGTTGGCCGTGGTCTCCCATGCTGAAGGAGCCGTCGCCTGAGTTCTGTGGCTGGAACTGGAGTTCTGTCGCCTGGGGGACCGTCATCTGGTGATAGGCAAGCGCGGCGGCGGCAGTGTCGCCGACACTCGCGGTGTTGGTCCCACCGTTGTGATGTACGTCGAACTGTTGCTGCATGTCGTCGTCGGCGGCGTTGTGCGCGGCGAGAAATGAGGCTGTGGCTTGGTCGGTGAGGTCGTTGTTGGCGGAATGGGGAGCAGGTCGGTTCAGGCCTTGGTCGCGCGTGTCGCGCTTCCGTTTGTTGGTGTGGACGTTGTGGGCATCCAGCTTGCCGTCGGTAGGGTACCCGGCGGTATCAGCCATGGTGTCTGGTGGGGTATCTGGAAGGGATGGGTAGAAGCAGCTGGAATCCGCGTGGGACGCTAGGATCGACGTCGAGGTTCTGCGCGTGGTTGCTGAGACGGCGAGGTCTGGGATGTACAGGACCAATGGTGAGTGAGGGCGCTGAAGTCTGGCTAGGACACAGTGCTCCTTTGGGCGACCAGGAGGTAGCCGTGAGTGAGTGAGTTAGGCGGGTGACGTATGGGAAGGCTGGTGAAAGTGGCAGAAAGACGCGCTCGAAGCGTGAGTCGCAGGCGCAACGCACCGGGGCGGGGGAGCAGCGGCGCTGTGCCCACCGGTTCACGCACAAGCCGAAGACGACTTGATGTAGCAATCGTGCGCTTGGGAAGCGCAATAGAGGCCTGCGTTCGACAAACATTAGCACGGGCGCGAGCAGGTGAGTAGGTCAAGGTGGTGCGACACAGCGCCAGCAAGCAGAAGGATTGGGCGCTTCCATTTGGCCGTTGTTGTGAGACGCAACTGTCACGACTCAAAAGAACGCCGTCGTATCGTGCGAGCGGTAGGAAGCGCACAATGGCGTCGTGCGTCGTGGTGGATGCGCGTCCATCGAGTGCGGGATGCCGACCGACAACACCGCGGAAAGCGAGCGGGCAGGCGCGAGGCCACCATGACGCCAGGTGCGCTTCTCAAACGACAGCCCGTGCAGGAGCGCAGGGTGGCATGTCTATGCAGGGCTTTCCGGCGGTCGCGCGAAAAGAGCCATGGTCACCTACCGCGATGTTCCAAATGGATGTGGATGCGCGCGAAATCAGGTGACGGACGAAGGTGTAGCAACTTGCTAGGCCGGCGACGCTTGACAGGCTGGATGCACACTGAGAAAGAGAGAAAAGAGAACAAAAAGCTCTTACCTTTCTTGAAATTGCAGACTTTGGGCTTTTCTTCAGGCAGGATCGAACGACCAACTTCTGAGTTGAATCACGAGGAAGGAGCAGAGATGGTCACATGGCAGGAGCGCTATTTAGGAAAGGAAGGCACGACTGAGCCAGCCCACCCGCTCAGCCAATCAGCGTATCGCGACACGCCATGCAAGTTTCCCCACTCCCAGCCCGCCATCGCAACCACTACGTTATCACAGTCCTGCCGACGCGAGGCATCTACTCCGGAGTAGTTAGAGCTTGCTATGCACTGTACGCTTTCGCATCACTTGCACCATCATGTCCATAGCCACAGCGACAGGTACTTCGTTGCCCCCAGTCCCTCTTCGCCACCACGACCACAGCACCCCCGCCAGCCTCACTACGATACCAGCGTACGGATGACACCCCTCTAGACCACCTAGGCTCAGCCGACACCTCCAATACGCTTCACATGGCCTCAAACAGAGACACAGGTGTGGCATGTGACACGCTGCCCCCCACATTCTGGGCTATCGTCGACTACGCTATACCCTTTTTGTCATTGGTCCCATCATGCAATACACAACCATTGGGAAGATCGACTCCCACCTATCTCCTTCACTCTGCGCTCGAGTATTGATGTCTCAACTTACGCGCTGCTTACTAGGTCTTGTTGTAGATGTATCTATCTTTCAAACGGCTCTCGGCTCTCCTCGTCCTCTTGCTATCTGTGCAAGTATGAGGCCCAGTCTATTGCTTGCTATTCGCTCAAGTGTGATCCGCGGAGATAAACCAAATTTTGACTTCGTATCGGTATGGAAAAATACAATCGAGACAGTCCCTTTACATTTTTACTTTACACCTCCACATAGATCATGGACAGTCCAGTGTGCGTGCTCGATGGACGTCTTCATATTATCGGTACAACACATCGAACGAGGCGGGCCAAATTGGGGGCATACAGGAAGAACCTGAACACTCTGGAGCCCACGTTGCCTTCAGGTCGCCTGCTTTGGATATTCTTACCTTAATGTAGGCTGCAGGCCTGTCCGAGTTTTATCTTATGCGAGATATCAAATGTCCACGGTTGGGTTGGTTCGATTTCTTCGGTTTGGTAACAGCAACCACGGTATCATCTCAACCATAAGTTCGGTATAGATCATGTGCTCTATGCGGCTGCCTTGGGGATGGTCTGAAATGACGAAACCGGTAGTGCTGGGAGTAGGTATAGTCCCTCTCCTCGGTGGCAAACGGCGAAATCACGTTAGGCTATGAAAATCCTGAACACCCTGGAGCCTACATTGATGTCAAGTCACTCACCTTGCATGATTTTGTCCTAATGTAGTCTGCAGACCTGTTTAGTATAAGCTAAAAAGGCGCCTGTGTATTCGTCACATATGTATGTCAACCTAAGAAAAGTCTTATAGTCCTAGAGCCTACATCAACGGGAAATCACCTACTTTGCGTGTTTTCATGTTGATGTAGCCCCCAGACCTACTCAGCTTTTTTCTTGTCTAAGGCGTGCGGCATATTCTACCAGGTAATCTTAAGAAGTAGAGAAATGGTATTTAGTGAAACTAAGAAGGAATATATATACTACAATCTACATCACTTAGAGAGGCTATTTGCAGAGCGAAGACGTTGAAGTAGACGAGAATCGCTGTTGTTAGACGAAGATTCGTGAAGAGCAGTAAGCCAAGAGATAAAGCGAGTGTGCTTTGGAGACTGAAGGAAGAGTGTAGTGGTGTCGAACCCGCGAAGCATCTGGCTGTGACAAGAGTAGAGTTCCTCGACGTCAATGTGCGTCCAAGCATAACGCCGGATCTTGGTAAATACCGATGGGTAGAGCACTCCGAGTTGCGGGGACACGATAGCGGCTTAAGAGAACAAAACTTCTGGAAAGCGGTCGACTAGGTATTGCCAGGACTCATTGTCGGTTGTCAGTCCGTCCACGCCCGGAAAGAGGAACAAGACACGGATGCGCCGACCCGCCAGAGCCTGAACATGGTCAATGACCCTTCGCATCGTGTCGTAAACGCTTGCCACTCGCGCAGAATGTCCAGCTGAATTGAGAACTGGGAATGTCGATGTGATGTACCCTAATACCAGTGGGATCCAGACCGGCCTAAAGCTTTGCATTGCTAGCGCTCCTTGTGTGTCAATCTTGTCGTGGGGTCTTGGGTAGTTGTTGAAGACTTGTTCCCATTGATCATACATCGCTTATAGGCGTACATCGACGTCTTCCGATTCGTTGTCGAAGACTTCGGTGTCGGAGCTGATACCGTCCCGTGGCCTGCCCGAGCGACGGAAGCACGGAAGTACCATATCGTACGTGCGTGTCGGGTCAGGCGGTGAAGCGCAAACATGGAGATCTGTGCCAAAGATAGCACGAGCCGCGGTGGCGCGGATGGTAGTGCTGCCTTCGAGGGCGTACGCTTCGATGCATGTAGGGATAATGCGCGTATTGGCCTTGATGAATTTCCCATTAACAAATGAACCGGGATGGCGAACGTTCGCACGGGGGAATTTCATTGTCCTCTTGCTCAGCGTTTTCCTATTGCGCAGCATAGTGCCAAGCTTATAACGCATTACTTGGAAGGCTGCATTGCGGATCGTAGGAAGGTAGCGCCTGGCAAAACGTCGCACGAGAGCTTCTTGTTTGCGACCACTGAAATCTGGTACGGATTGGTATGGAAGGTTCTGCGTCTTGTGTTCGAGAATGGCGACGGCTTCGCTACGGACAATGATGTCCTGCTCGTCGAGGTCATGCTGCGTAAGATGATGTCGAATCTTAGGAGAGTGAGATATGCGCTCAGCGACCCTGAAGTCCTACCGATCTTGACGAGCTCATAGCTTCTATCTTCTTGTATCGAACCCCATTCGGATATCTCCGAATCTGATGCAGAGTGCCGGTGATGAGTTGAACGCGGAGTCTTTGATACAGCCAAGCGAGGTGCGTCTATCGAGAATAGCGACCAGTCAATGTCCCACTCCAGGGCTGGGCCCTCGGTTGTATCGTTGGTACTGCGGCTTTGTTCCGTCCAATTCTCATGCTGCTTCGCTGTGTACCTGGGATGAGGACGAGAGGTTTTTGCTGAGCTTGCCCATGTTGTTCCTGCAACGTTGGATGCCTCTTCCACCCGCTTACGCTCTTTGCGCTCTTCTTCTCTTTCTTCTCGCCATTGCTGCCTTTTGGACCGATGGCTCTCGGATTATACAGCTTGATGCTTCGAACTTGCGTCGCGGAGATATCTGTTGTGTTTGTTGATTATGAGTTTGCGTCTTCGGACGTACCGGGTCTTGTCGCGATCTGATGGTACTACTACGGTGACCGAGCCGCAAGAAGCTTCCCTCAGATGAGGCGGTTGCACTGGCTTCTCGTCACCTCCCCATAGTACGTGGAAGTTAGTTAGACCGACTTGGGTGGCGGGAGTAGGCAGTCCAGGGAATTCGATCTTCAGGAATCCACCGACGCTTCCTGATGGGCCTCCCTTCACTCCTACAGATGTACCAGGGTAGATGTCGGTAGAGAAATGCGAGGGACGGCAGAATTCTTCGTCTTCCGACTCATTCGCGATACCCTTGGGTTTCTTCAGTTCCTTGCTTGCGAAGTCCGCCTCTTCCTCTACTTCGGTTGAAATATCCGACATCTCCGCCTCTTCGGTATCTCCCACAGCATCCGCCAGATCGATCCTACTGCGCGGTCCGTACAGGAGCTCTACCTCCAGCTTGTAGTCAAAGAGAACGCTGATTCTCGCTATAATCTGGTCCCACACATCTGCGTCTGCGTCTGATGCCGTGATGACGATAGTAGGTTTTAGACCGTCGGTGGATTTTCCAAGGTTAACACAGTCAAGGCTCAGCCACTTCCTATTCGCGATCGTACGGAGAAAGGTTCGTCTCTTGCTCGCCCAATAACGCGCTATCTCTGCCGCCGTCGGTCCTTGTAATGCTGTGACTGTGAAGCTCTCGCCGACCACTCGGTCGATAGCTTCGATCGAAGCGTCTATGTTGTTGGATAGGATATACTGAGCGATTTCTTGGACTGCAGAGGCGCAGTGCTCGTACTGGCGCGGCTCTCCGAGATCCGTATAGAATACGATCGTTGGGTGGGAGGTGGCCAGTTCTGTAGGCCTTGTCCGCGCGACGTATCGAACAGGACCGAGAGTGCTTACGCTATGAGTATCTAAGATTTTGTTGATCGCGGGTTGGTGGGCGACCAAGTGTTTGGTGGTCGTTGGCAGACTTTGCAGTGGCAGGCTTCGCAGCCTGGGCCAACCGAGTCGCCAGGCGCATCTTGTATCAATCTTTGGCTCCATGATCGGTATATCTCCTGCAGAAGCAAAAGGTAAATGTAGAGAGAGACGTGCAGTCTCTACTAAGAAAGAGGGCGCACTGTGTGCAGTGTTCTCAGATCGTGAACGTTTGTGGGAGGAGAAAGCACGGTCGGTGAACGGGCGTTTGGAAGACATTATTGAATGAATGTTCTTCGTTGGTGTGGCTACTGATTCGCTGGATGTAAGCGGTAATCCGTCGTACCCTGGTTTCTTGTCATCGTTGTGGTGGTTGCTGGTCGGGCTAAGGCCAGTGGGGTTGCGCATGTCGCCAGATAGATGCTCGATGTGCGCATCGAGCGCAGCCTGGCTCGAGCAATAAGGGGGATCACGGCCGCTGATAGTGCTGTGTGCTCCGGTGAACAGCTCCCGTCGGAGTGTCATGCCAACGCTCAAGGCGTTGGAGGCCGACTTCGCGGGCTGGTCATTGTGAAGTAATGTCCTCACGTTCCACGCTGTGAAGACCCCGCAGTCATCTGCCTCTTGCTGCACTGTTTCCTCGTATCTAACGGCGACCGTGTTCCAATCGACGTTCGCTAATCTGGACCGGGGGTGAGAGAGCGCCACCAGCGCAACGAATTGCCGGAGCTCCTGCTCGAACATAGACGTAGATCGGTATCTACGTCCTGTGTCGTACACGCGCATGAGCCCCGCCCCAAATTCCATGCATAGGGCCTGCACCACTACCCAATGGCTGTTCGTCGGATTCCAAGTGAAGACGATGAATGCTGCGGCGTCGAGCTCAGGGAGGATGAAGACTGATTGCGGAATAAGTGACGCGATGTCGGGGCGTATCTCGGGGTTAGATGATGACGTGCCGATGGTTGCCATGTATACTGGACGGCTTGTAGCGACATGCACGACCTCCGGTGAGTACCCCCGTGAATTGCCACATCTCTCGACAAGGAAGTCGATAGTCGTGCCGGACAGCCACATCTTGGCTTTGCACACCTCGAGCATAGAGGCGAGGCTGATTGGCCACGGTCCGAGCGGAAGAAGACGCAGCGATATGGCACCGTCGGACTCTTGATATTGCTGCACCGCCATGTGAACGACGTCACGGAGCATCCCCACCCGTGGGCACGTGTCCATTCGGAGGGTCAGCTTCAGGATGTAATCGGATGCGCGGTCCAAATCTGTTGCCTTGGTAAGCTGCATTGCCTCAATGTCCGACTTGCTTGGTGGCTGCGAGAGGTCGACGGTCAGCTTAACCCTTTTCCGGGACTCAGGCTCTGGGGGCTGCGCGCTACTCTGACTGAACGGGATGGCGACGCCATAATCTTCGTGGTCGTCGTTGTCCGGAGGAGGAGGCCAGTCGTCCTGTATGCCGAGTGTTCCAATGGGGGTGGCAGCGGCAGTAGATGCTGCCGTGGGAGCGGGCGTCGCGGTTGCGACGGACATCGCGGTTGTAATAGGGGTGGCGGCTGTGATAGGGGTGGCAGTAGCAGTACATGCTGCGGTAGAAGTAGGCGTTGCGGATGTGATGGGCGTCGCAGATGTAATGGGGGTGGCGGTTGTGATAGGGGTGGCAGCTGTGATGGGGGTGGCTGTGGCATCTAATGCTGCTGTAGGAGTAGGCGTCGCGGATGTGATGGGGATGGCTGTGGCATCTAATGCTGCTGTAAGAGTAGGCGTCGCGGATGTGATGGGGGTGGCAGTTGTGATGGAGATGGCTGTGGCATCTAATGCTGCTGTAAGAGTAGGCGCTGTGGTTGAGGTATTAGCTGCGGTTGGTATAGGCGCTGTAGGAGTGGGCGTCGCGGTTGTGATAGGTGTCGCGGTTGTGATAGGTGTCGCGGTTGTGATGGGTATGGCGGCTGTGACGGGGATGGCTGTGGCATTTGATGCTGCTGTAAGAGTAGGCACTGCGGTCGAGGTATTAGCTGCCGTTGGTATGGGCGCTGCGGTGGTGATGATCGGCGACTTTCTTGCATCGAATTGTGCTGGGGGTTGCTGTCCGTCGCCGGCTTTATGCTCGATTGGCAGAGTCTCGCCAGGCTTCGGCGCAGAGGCGGGCGGTGTCTTGGATGCTAGGGGACTCTTTCCGTCACCCGCTTCATGCTGAGCTGGCGTAGTCTCATCAGGCTTGGACGTGGAGGCGGCGGGCGCTGTCTTGGATGCTAGGGGACTCTTTCCGTCACCCGCTTCATGCTGAGCTGGCGTAGTCTCATCAGGCTTGGACGTAGAGGCAGCGGGTGTGCTGTTCTTCTTGTCGTATGCTTCTCTGTGTGTCTGGTAGGCCCGCGTGGCTCTGAACTTGTTGGCGGCGTTTACCTCCTCCCTCAGGAAGGGTTGGTAGTCCGGCTCTCGTAAGATCCGATTCATGACATCAATCTCAAGGCGCTCTCGTCGGCTCTGGTAGTGAGACATGCTGGGCTGAATGGACTGGGCAAAGCCAGGACTGGACAAAGACAACGCGGAAGAGAAGAGCAGAAGGGCAACGAAAGCGCAGCGAAAACACTCTCAATATGCTGTGGCCCCGCATTTTGGAATTGATTGTGCGCCATGTCTTTCTGTTCGAGGAAGCTGCGCAGGCGCAAATTTGCGGGGGGGTGCGTTGGAGGAAGTCGCGTTCGGGGACGACGAGCCGTACTGGGCATGGGATCCCATCTCACCCACATGGTGCCAGGTAGAGAGCGTCTGTCTGGCTGCAGACCAGAGGCATCATGTTCCGTAGAGCTTAGCAAGACAGAGTCCGCTTCACAGTGAGGTAGGTATGCTGGGGGTGCATTGGCGACCCGAGTGGATGCCTTTACAGTGTTAGTTGTCTATTAAACGCCATGAAAACTGCCACAAGGACGACAGCTAGCAAAGAGAGCCTCTTTCTTGTTTACCTGATAGTTGTAATGCAATACATCGTGCTGCAGCGCGCAAGTTAAGCCAAATTGGCCACAGCAACGAGCGCGATGCTTGCGATGCCTGCGATGCCTGCAATGCCTGCGCGCTGCAGCAATTAGACGACTAAAGACTGCAGTAGCCGGGGAGCTGAAGATCTGGTGCGAGCACAAACATCCTAAGCATTGGGATATGTGGTACTTGAATACGGAGAGTTGTAGGTAGGTTGGAGTCTTCAAGTTAGTGGAGATAGAGAGACCCTTGCGGTTTAGCGCTGTTCTGAGCGTGGGTGACGTCATAGATCCTGCGCTGGCGTCTTCCCCACCCCCACCCCCACCCCACCCCTCGGACGACACTCAGTATAGCACCACCAGCACTACGGCATTACAGACTCTGCTTCGGCATCCACTCTAGTCCTTTATCAAGAACAACATCATCATCGGCGCAGCAGTATGAGCCAAAAGAGAATATTAGAAGATGCTGAAGTCGCGCAGGTGGAAGACACCAGCTGCAAACGTGCCAGAGTAGACTCGTCTACGCCCTACCCCAGAAGAGACTTCAACGCGAAGAGGAGAGAGACTGGACACAGGAGCGACCCGATCCAGATCCAGACATCTTCTCAAGGCGCCTCCTCTGTCGTCCCACCGTCCACGCCATTATGTCGAACTGACCTAATGCCTCCGCCGTTTCCAGACCCAAAATTCGCCAAAGCCGTTTTGTCTTCGGATTACGGATCGTTTCCGGAAGAGACCCAGTCGTCACAATATGGGTCCTTTCCCGTTCTCTCGTCTCCAAGAATGTCCAACAGGCCTCTCCCACTCCCGCAGCACCGACATGAAGTCTCTTCTTCTTTGCCATGTCTCCCACAACAGGGCCGGGCAAGAGAGTCACAGGGAGTATCGTGCGCAGATACAGGCCCCTATCTGACTAGTTTGCTCGCCGACTACGCCCACGTCGGAGAACCAGCCCCCACATACATTCCAACAACATGCTCGACGAGCAGCGCAAGTGGCAACGAGTTCGCAACATCCTATAGTAAGTGGCGGATTAGGTGGTGCCTCAGATCACACGTACTAAACAAAGACAAAGCGCCCACGACACGAACTTCCCGTTCAAGCCCAAAGTCCACCCATCTAGGGCGTCGATTCAGGTTCGTACTCGCGTGCGACTTGACATCCTACAGCTTCGGGTCGCTCCATCTGATCTGATGTGGAACCATGAATTAGGCGCCAAGATGTGTATGTGCAATATGTGATTGGTATTTCTGACATACTCCCTGTCACCCTCAAAGCCCATGTATATCCTGCTGTTCCATCTACCTGCAGCACTTCCGGGAGGCCCTCCACACCCCTCTGCTTCACAAACGCCAACTTAATCTCTGGAGCTTTCGCCGCATGCTGTAACCGGTCTTTGTCCCTTCCTTCAACACTGAATACCCCCAGTCTCTGCTACCACCTTTGAGAAATGAAACCTATGCATGTGGGGTATCTTCCCAGCGTCAACCTCATCTAGGGTGTAGAAGATGTCTCGAGTGAGGATCGAAATGGTGTTGATGTTGAGTGGACGTGTGCCAAAGGCAGCCGCGACGCGCTGGTGTATCTCCGTCGCAATGGTCTTGAAACTACCCAATACGTCCTTGGAGCGAGGGGTATCGCAGATCAACTGCCACTCCTCCAACTTCTTGAACAGCGGCAATTCAGCAGCCAGAAGAGAAATCTCTTTTTCACTTTCTTGTGATAAACGACCCCGCTCCAAAGATCCCGCTATCTCTTGACACCTGAAACCTAACACCTGGAGGTTCTTGTGGTTCTCCTGGAGAATCTCGATCGTCGCCATGTCTAGTGATGGTTTGCCGAGACTCAGGAAGCACTCTTCGAGTTCGCTGTGCGAACTGAGAATATGCGCGTCAAAGTCAGTTTGCCAATCTGCACCAGCTTCTATCTCGACCTTCTTCAAAGTCGAAAATGACTTGCAGAACTTGGCGAATCCGAAAGCTTCATCCGGCTGAAGATACTCTCCATAGCTGTATATATTGATCTTGACCGTATGAAGACGAAGAGGGTCCTTTGAGCTCATCAGGTGCTCGAAAAGTTTCTTCAACCAGCAGCATTGCTTCACCCGAAGAGTGCGAAGAGTCGTGATGCTGAATGAAGTAAACATGGCAGGCCGTAGTTGCCGGAAATCGAGGCCAACAAGACTCAGCTCTCTGAGCCCGAACGGCTTCGAATGCAAGTGAAGACCAAAGTTATCGAAAGGGTTCTGAAGATAGAAGGTCGGAGAGTCCCTAGTCGTATGTCGGCCAAAGACCACCAGCTCATCAATACTTCGAGTCTCGATACCCATCATCTGGATGACGTTTTGCGCCACACTATGCGGGGTGCCGGAGTCCAATTGCTGGCTGGGATCGTGATCTCCTACGACACTGATCTCCCTAGCCAGGGGCTTTTCTAGTTGCTTGTCTGATTGGAACCGGATAATAGCCGAGTGGTTGAAGATGCCACCATCTTTGAAAGGCTCCGAGTTGCTATGTCCAGGTCGGCAAGTCTCGCGAAGCGGTCGCATTGGAAGATCGAGGTTGCGAAGTTTAGATCTGAGTTTCTCACCACGCTCCTTGCTGGTGAGAAGGCCGTATAGTCCGACGTACGACTTGTAATTGAGAGAACCCACGAAGCGTAGCGACAATGGGCTGAGCTCCTTGAGACGGTTGAGAAGACGCTTAAAAAGCCATGTTCCACGATCATTGTCCAGTACATTGATACGAAGATGCCGAGTGAAACGCAAGTTTTTGAGAACGATCGAGAATTGAGCGGGGGTCATCTTGGACGTTATCCGGCCGACCACGATGTCGATATCCCGGAAACGTGCCTCCGTTCCAACTCGGTGCATTGCCTTGCAGGTCATCGACAGTCGCAACTGGCTCTCCTTTCCGCACTACCCAAGTTAGCTTCAACACTCTGCTGGAGCGCCAGTCACGTTACGACTGAGTTTGAGCGGATCCCAAGGACTACTTACATAGTCAAATATCATCAAAATCACTTCATCGGGAAGATCTATGGCGGTCGCATACAGTGTAGTTACTGGAGGGGCAGCCAACGCTTTGCCGGAGCGAGCGGTACTACGAGTGTGCCTATCCCTCGCTGCCGCGCGCCTTGCCGCCCTTGACTTGGTCCTGGAGGCGACGTGTTTTTCCGGGGCGTTTTCTGCAACCTTGCGAGCGTCATGTCGCCTTGTCGATGTGGTTTCCGCCGTCCGCTTCTGCGTCTGCTTCTGTTTCTTCTTGTCGTCGGTACTTGGCGAGTGAGATCTGCGGCGCTTGTTGGACTTGATCGATTGATGGTGGCTGGGAGCCATGGCGGGTATTCAGTAAGGGGGATAAGGTACGATCTCGGTGTCAGTGGTTCAAAGAACGTAGAGCACGCCAAGTAGAGGAAGGAATTTCAGTACGTCTGTGCGTCTAGGCACCCTCCGTGGTGCAAGTGAATAACGTGATCAACATACCTGACGGACGTGGTGGGGCATGAGCCAATACGGCCGCCGGGGTCCGACAGGCTGCAATAAGAACAAGACTATCCCTCCTGACTGTCCTCCCTTTCCTCCCCTCCGCCCACATTCCCACTTCTCTTCGGTACCCCTGAGTACCTCTTTTGTTCCGAAACCTTCGCTCACAAGGATGGAACCCGCCGTTTATGGTGCAAGCCAGCCATCCTACGAGGCCCATCATGCTGCCCCCAGACCTGATGGTCATACCATGTGTACAAAGGGCCCGCTACGCTGTATGACGGGTTCTTGTCGACATCTGTGACAGCGGGCTCCTCGTGCGGGTGTTATGGGTAGCCACGGACCGAACGGAAGAAACGTGCGCTTGCCGCTCATCTGGCGCAAGAGTTCTTGGAACCACGTTCCTTGGGCTGGACCTTGAGCACCCAACTGGGCGAGGACGTTCAATAACCGCGAGACGGACGTGAGTGACGGTACCACACGAAGGTCTCGAGACCTAGGCGAGAGCGTGTTGGGGCTCTTGCTGACGATCGAACGGCGCATCCCAACGCGCTCCGATGCGCATACGCAACATACGGTAAGCCCCCGACTCTTGTTTTCGCGAACACATAACCCCCCAATAGAATACCCGATCCCCGGGTCAATACAACGGCGGAGATGTACGAACGGAGATCTCACGAGAGACTAGGTGCGAACTGCGTTGGGGGCTCGTACTGACGAAGTGGAGGATGATTACCCACACCCTTTTTTCGTTGATTCTACTGCTTCATGTAGTGTGTTGAAGAAGAGAGCTACGCGAGAGTCTGTCAAGAGCATAACACTGGTACCTTCAACTAGATGTGACAATACGCTCACAACTCTCACCCGGTCAAGAAAGAGTCCACGTCACCGATCTGTCAGAAGGAAGGAACATGGCAGGCAAAAAGCTGGACAATTGGACGATGCACATGAACGCAACGAAATGAGACAGGAGGTAATGCAAATGAAAGCAAGGAGCGAAAAGAAAAATTGTGTGGTGGCTAGTAAATTTCAGCTGT